GTCACCACACAATCATTATTGTCAGAGTACTTCTTCATACTTTCTTCGCACATAATTTGTGTGCCTTGGTCTGAGCTGGCTTCTTTAGGAAACTGTGGAACCAACAAAGATCTCTAAACAACTCAGGTTTTTTAAGATAGAAAAAAAATCCTTTTTCATTTTTAAACTTTATTTTCTCTGAGGAAGCTTTGAAACGGTACGTTCTTGACCAATTAACTGACATTTGTCTTCTCTTAAAATTTGCATCACCATCCACTGGAATTTTTTTAATGAGAGAGTGAGGTAAAGAACACACTGTGCTTCAGTACATATGTAGTCTTTAATTTTAATTATACTGTGATTTCAGTCTTTCTAATTTCAGGTAAAACTCTCCTGGTAATTGTTCGTACCGTGAAAGAACTTGCATTCTCATCAAAATGAAATTAGTTCTGTCATGTTTTTATCCAACACATAGAAACTGATATTGTTGATCAACGAACGTTTTGTTGTCTGGAATGGTTTTCTAGTCGACCTTCAATTATCTTTCCAAACATCCATCATGAAGATATTAATGCTTTTTTCTTTATAGACAACTACTGCTCCTAATCATAACAAGATACTTTCGAGTATTACTTAGAACCAGAAAGCACAGTTTACACTTCTAAAGATACCCAATGATCAGATGTTTTCTATCACAACAAAATATTCTAACACAAGCCAAATTCAAAACTACTTTACCTTGGCTGTCAGTGGGATTCCTCAGCTGCCTTTTATGAGGGTCCAGCAATACATAGGTTGCTTGTGAGACTGGAGCCCCTTTAAAGGATGGTTATCCTATCCTCAGGAGCTGCTGATGAATCATACACTTGGTAGTTCAGCAGTTTCAGTGGTGTCATAAGGAGATGTGGCCACTGTTTGGACTGGATCTGGCAGAAGGATATACCATAGAGGGACACAGCCATGTAAAACACCTAAGTGGGGTTGAGGGCATCAGCATTGATGAACCATGTCCCAGTGAGTGTGGGAGTGTCTAATGAGGACTGGCAAAACTATTATTGGCAGGTTGGTGCACGGAGTCCTATCAATGAGCCATAGAGTGCCTGAATTGTTCGTTGCACTTTGAGCTCACAGAGAGGCAACCAGGGTTGAATAGGTAGTCTCCTCACTTGTCTGAGGGCTCAACTGCTGTTCCTAAAATGCCAGTGGTGGCAGGAATAGACACTTAATTGAACCCTTAAGTGGTTCAATTTTCCTCTAGATCGGGTGCTGTCCTCCATCTTGCACACTGCTGGCAAATGACATTATGGTAGGAACATAACAGTTACTCCATCCCATTCCTCCCCTTGCCCATTTATGTGTCTCCATGTCTTACAGAATAACTACAAAGACTGATGAAATCCAGCTCAATTAATTAGCATGATTGTGCATTCCTACAATGTTCGTGATTAATTAGCCCAAACATCATTCAATAGCTTATTTTTCCATAAATCACTTCTCTGTCATTCATTCTTCACATAATGCACCACAGAGAATACAGTGTCATTCTGTCATTGCATAGTTCAGCTCTAATTGTATGACTTGATAGAGTGAAAGATAACATTCAATTTTGGTTTTTATTTGTGTGCGAATAAGCGAAGGTTTTGCTTTCAGAGGCTTTGAGGAGCTGTGTTATAATATTTTGTTTTTTGTACTTTGTGTTACCCTTTCATTACTTCCATGGCCGTTTAGTTTGTTGAACATTCTTCCTACAATCTGGAAGCTTTCTCTTTTCAATAATTTTTATTTCTAGCTTGTAGGGCTGACAGGATTATTAATTAGTCTCAAGCTTTGACATCACTCTTCTTGGAAGTAACAGATGACTAATCATTTATGGGTTAAAGTAACTGCTTCAAATCAATTGGAACTGGAGTTTCAATATTATGTGCAGTTGAAATGCGAGAAATAAATGACAGCCTTGAATTTCCTGTCATTTTTGCTGTTGAATGAAAACACCTTTCATTTGTGTAAAATCAAAACCTGTACCTAACCTGCATGTGTTCAAAATGATGTGATTCATTTTCATCAAAAAATGTAAAATTAAAATTATGCTCAAGACCTATATTATGTAGAAATAGGTACATAATTCAATATATATCAACTAAGTTATGAAATATACACATAAAAAACCTAAAAACGAGAATATAGGTGAACTTAGAATTTCCAAGAGAAGGCTGACATTGGAAAAAGGCTAATAGTTGCTTCTGCTCCTATGTCTCAGGATCTTACAACACTGGCAGCTACCTACTAATATTAAAAGTTACTCAGCTGTACCCTGTGGAAAAAAAAACTAGGACAATTACTGTCCTATCAGACTACTCTCAATCATCAGTAAAGTGATGGAAGGGCTTTTCACAGTGCTATCAAGTGGCATCTATTTGCAAATAATCCACTCACTGCTGTTGAGTCCAGGTTCTGCAAGGACCACGAAGTCACAAATCACATTGCAGACTTGGTCCAGACATGAAAATTCAGCGGTGAGATGAGAGTGATTGCACATTGACATCAAGTCAGCCTTTGACAGGGTGTGGTACCAAGGAACCGGACTAAAGTCAAAGATTGAAGTCAAAAGTACATAGGCAGAAAATTCATCAGGAGCTAGAGTGACTATTAGCACAAGGGCTAATTGTTATAGTTGTTGCAGGCCAATCAATTAGGTACAGCCTCGGGATATTTCTACTGGAATGTCTCCGGGCAGCGTCCCAAGGCCCCACGTCTTCAGTTACTTCACCAAAGATCTTTCATCATAGGTCAGAAGTGAGGATGTTTACTGATAACTGTATAGTATTCAGTTCCTTTCACTAACACTTCAGGTAATAAAGCAGTCTATGCCTATCCAGCAGTAAGGCCTGCATAGCGTTGAAGGTTATGCTAATAAATGGTAGAATTTTCCAGGCTATGAACAGCCCCAACAGTAATGTGTTTAAAAAACATTCTCTGGGCATTTAACAGCATCTCCAATGTAAAAGCTTCATCATCAATAACTTGGGATCACCACTGACTAGAAGCTTAACTGGATGAGCTACATAAATAGCTAGAAGCACAGTCAAATCTATTGCATGCAGTTCACCTCCAGACTTTTCAAAGCCTTTCTACTACCTACAAGGCACAAAAGTAAAGTATTAAAATGATTCTCTACGTGCCTGAATGTGTGTATCTCCAAAAATGCTGAAAAAAAACTCATGACTATCCAGGCCAGCAGCGATCTCAATCTTTCACCCCTTTAAATATTCTCCTCTTCCACACTGACACACTGGGACTCCATTGCATTCCATAAACAATTGTCAGAAACTTTGCTTCAATGCTTCTTTCCAGACCTATGAGTACTATCACCTAGAAACAGAAGGTACTTGAGAGTACCACCAACTCCAAGTTTCTCTGCAAGACACAGACCATCCTGACTTGGAAATATATGACTGCTCCTTTATCATTGCGAGGTGAAAATCCTGGAATTCTCACCCAGCAGTTCTACGGGCATACCTACAACACTTGGTTTGCCACAGTATAAGAAAACAGTTGACTATTATCTTCTTGAGAGCAGTTAAGAATGGACAATATTTATTGACCTTGCCAGTGACTCCTTATCTCAAAAATGAAAAACAAAATGAAACGGTCTTTTGTCATAATAGTGGTGAAAAATGGACTATCAATGCACAATGTTTATCATCTAATCTTAATCCTGAGAACGTTCATGGAGTAAATTTCTGTTTTCAAAATAAGAGAAAACCATAGACTTAAGATAGCCAGAGTGGCCACTTGACCACATTGAACCAAGTTCAAAAACCAATACAAGACAAATAAATCCAGTCTGAGCCTGAATTAACAAAGAAACACCTGAAGCTCAACCAGGCATGTATAAACCCTTATCTCCTATTGTTAATATACGCCTTTCTGGAACTTACACATATTGAATGAAAGTTACTTGCACATTGTACAACTTTCAAAAAAAATGATACTAGACATAGGAATACACAAATGAACTTATTTCAGGAAAACAGATTTTGGGAAGGAAAGGGCAAGAACATGGATTGATAATTGCAAGGAGAAAAATGTGCTTTTTCTCCTTGTTTAATCGTCAATGTCTCAAAAGCCAAGCACTGATAGAACAAAGTCGAGAAACATCCATCCTTGCATTCCTTTTTATTGGACGCTCTCCACTTTTAATTTTATACCTGTGGAACTAAAATTCAGTTGAGCGAATGTGGAATTAAAAGCCAGATTCAAGAATTGTAACCCTAAAACTATTGTCATTAAAAATTCGAATTCACTTATGTTCTTTAAAGCTGTCCTTACCTGGTCTGGCCTCGATGTGTCTCCGGATCAACAGTAATGTGGTTAACATATATTTCCCCTCTGAAATGACCTCACAAGCCATTCTGTTCAAGGACAATTAGAGAAGGGCAACAAATACAGGCCTTGCTCTCATCCCATGAAGGAATAAATTTAAAA